AAAAAAAAAAAAAAAAAAGGAGGGGCTCAGTGCCTGTAGCTCAAGCGACTAAGATGCCAGCCACAGACACCGGAGCTGGCGGGTTTGAATCCAGTCCAGGCCCAACTACAACTAAAAGATAGCTGGGCAGGCGGCGCCTGTGGCTCAAAAGGGTAGGGCGCTGGTTCCATATGCCGGAGGTTCAAAACCAGCCCTGGCCAAAAACTAAAAAAAAAAAAAAGCTTGTAAAAAATAGCTAGGCGTTGTGGTGGGCGCCTGCAATCCCACGTACTTGGGAGGTTGAGGCTAGAGAATTGCTTAAGCCCAAGAGTTGGAGATTGTTGTCAGCTGTGACTCCATGGCACTCTACTCAGGGCAACAGCTTGAGACTCTGTCTTAATAATAAAAAAAAAAAAAAGAGGGTGGCACCCGTGGTTCAGTGGGTAGGGCATGGGCCACATAGACCGAGGCTGGCTGGTTTGAGCCTGGCCTGAGCCTGCTGAACAACAGTGACAACTACAACCAAAAAAAAAAAAAATGGCTGGGCATTGTGGCGGACACCTGTGGTCCCAGCTACTTGAGAGGCTGAGGCAGGGTAGTCGCTTAGGCCCAAGAGTTTGAGGTTGTGGTAAGCTGTGACACCTTGGCACTCTACTGAGGGTGACATAATAAGACTCTATCTCCAAAAAAAAAAGAGATGATTTTTGTTTCTGCTAGTGGGGATTGTTGCAGGAGAAGCTGATCTTTCTGATGGTGTGTTTGGTTCTCAGTTCAATGGCTACGCTGGAAGCCTTTTCTCAAGTGGGCCGTATGAGAAAGATGATGAGGAAGCAGATGCTATTTATGCAGCTCTGGATAAAAGGATGGACGAAAGAAGAAAAGAAAGGAGGTAAAACAAATTGTTACTTTTCACAGTGTTTATCTTTTAATTTAAAAAAAAATGCTTTGTTGGGCAGCGCCTGTGGCTCAAAGGAGTAGGGCCACTGGCTCCATATGCTGGAGGTGGTGGGTTCAAGCCCAGCCCTGGCCAGAAACTGCAAAAAAAAAAAAATGCTTTGTTTTGACTTATTTTATATTTGGAGAAAATTGCAGAAATAAAAATAACATGTATGTCTGCTCAGCTTCAGAGTCACTTGGGTTGGTCTGCAGCAGCCATATTTGGGTGAGTGCTGGGGTATTGCAGAGGAACCTTAGGACCTGGGGGCTGCAGTGGAGAGTTTGGGAACTCTGGCTTTCCAGAAGACAGTAGAATCAGGGACATTACTTTGACTGTATCTCAGGGTTATCATCTTTGAGATGGGCTTTGGGGTGTATATTAAGTCATTTAGAAATGTATTAAAGATGGCAGATGGACATCTGAAGTCTCCTGGGGAGGTGGTTGTGGTTTGGGAAACTCATTCCTCATGTAAGTGTGGTGACACGGCCATAAGGCTATGGGGCATGTAGAGAACAGGCCAAGAGGCAGAGCTGTCCTGGTGTCAGTGTGGGTGAGCATTCTGTCTATGGTGCCTCATCACGGGTAAGATTGCTCCCCTGGAGACCTCTGATCTGGGCATCTTGCACTGAACTCAGGTTTAGCAAATCCGTCGTGTTGATGGTGCCTCAGTGTACCTGTTGATATGTGACAATTTTTTTTTATTTTCAGACAGAGTCTCACTTTGCCACCCTTGATAGAGTGCCATGGCATAGCTCAACAGCAACTTCAAACTTTTTGACTCTGGTGATCCTATTGCCTCAGCCTCTCAAGTAGCTGGGACTACAGGCACTTACCACAATACTCTGCTAGAGACAGGATTTTTTAGAGACAGGATCTCACTCTGGCTCAGGCTGGTCTTGAACTCCTGAAATCAAGCAGTCTACCCGTCTTGACCTCCCAGACTGCTAAGATTACAGGCGTAAGCCATTGTACCCGGCCTATGTGGCCCCTTTCTGAATTTCCTGTCCATGTCTAAACTGCATTTATATGAACACATGATGCTGCAAAGTGTGGTAATGTATTGCTTTGTAATCTCAATTATTTTTTTTTTTTTGCAGTTTTTGGCCAGGGCTGGGTTTGAACCTACCACCTCTAGCATATGGGGCTGGCGTCCTACTCCTTTGAGCCATAGGTGCTGCCCTGTAATCTCAATGATTTTTATTGTAAAAGAATATATTTTTATCATGGAATATTAGGAAAATGAGAGTATGTGTGGGTATAACATTTATTTATGAGCCTAGAAAGTAACAGTTAATATTTTGATTATTTTCCTGTTTTTATTGCTTTTTCTACATGTAATTTTATTTATTTATTTATTATTATTATTTTTTATTGAATGGCAACTATGTACATTAATGCACTTCTGGGGTACAGTGTGGGGTTTTCACATGCAATCTGAAATACTTCCATCAAACTGCTCAACACAGCCTTCATGTCATTTTCTCAGTTATTGCTTTAAAACGTTCACATTCTACTCTTAGAAAGATTCA